TGTTTTACACTTTATGGACAAGGTAGAGATAATTGTTAAAAATTAGACAAATAAGTAAGCTATTATAATTAAATGAGCTATTTATAATTAAGTGAAAATACTAAAGACATTTGCTAAATATAAATTCAGGCATTCTTTCCTTAAAATTTATAAATGATGTATGTGGGTCTCTTAAATGTATTTCATAGATTAATATATCTGTATTACTTCATATATACATGTGTATATATGTATTAATTCATAAATTAATTATATCTGTGACACTGATACAAGATTAAAAGTTATCTGATTCCTTAACAAGTTTCAGGGTAACTATTCTAGAGAGAAAATAAATATCCAAAAGTGAAGAGTTCTGTCAAACTATAGATCAAGTTAAAAATGAACTTTAAATAATAAGTCTCAAAGTGATTGAAGGTTGTATCTGTTCATCATTTTAAGATATCCTAAAGTTAATAATTTGGATAAGCACAACTCATTTAATATTCTAGTAACAGTTGTTAATTTTAAACAAAATCTTACTGTAAAAGGTTAATAGCTATGACTTACATGCTCTGTTAATGGGTTTATGATACTAATAACTTTAAAATATGCTAAAAGGCTTGCTTGCTTCTCTGTAATAGATAAACTAAATTAAGTACTTAAAGGGTTTTTTTTACTCACTTTGTTTTTAGAGAAAAGCCTTGCAAGTTTCAGAAAACAAGATTTTAGGTTTTTCCCACCTCAAGTATGTTTATGCTCTTCTCTGTACAAACTTACATCTACATATGACACAGTTTGGAACATAAATATGAGCTAATAACATAAGTTTTAAAACTACTAATAAACCTATGTGTAGGGGGTGACATAATTTTATAATATAAAAGTTATGTTTTTGCTGTAAATTCATCCTAAATGCTAACAATATAACTTCTGAGTAAAATGTTTCTAGTTATAGTTTGTTCTAAGAAAAATATTTTTAAAAGAGTTAAAAATGGACGATGGACATGGTGACAGATGTCTGCAATCCCAGCACTCAGGAGGCTGAGGCAGGAAGATTACAGTTCTAGTAGACCAGCTTAGGCTACATAGTGAGTTCAACCCCAACCTGAACTACATAAATAGACTCTGTCTCAAACTTAAAAAAATAATTAAAAATGTAATACACAAAGATAATGTTAGTATCATTTAAAATAACAAAGCTTAAGATATTCACCTGTTCTTTGTAAAATCTTACAATAAAACTTTTTTAAAAAGAGATTTTAAATATGTCAAAATAATTTCTTATGTGTTGAGAGCCACTCTATATAATTTTTGAAGGAAAATCATTTCAAATTAAATTGTGATTAGGGCTCATCTGAAACCTAGTGTCTTTGCCATGCAAGCCGGCTATGGCATGTGGAAACATAACTCTGTGTGCTGACAGTCACAGTTGAGGCCACAATGGTCCTGTGATGCTGTGATGCTCCAGAGCAAGATTACATCAGCTGGAGACATCCTGGTTCTCTGAGAACTGAGTAGAAATTTTTTAAAAAGAGAGTTTCACCTGGGAGAAGGACACACTTCTTACTAACCTGCTATCCCTTCCCACCTGCTATAAGAATGCTTTGCCCATCTCACTGTCCTCATCAACATCTTCATCCACGTAAGATCCTCATCAGCATAAGATCACTGCCACGCTCTGAGTCGCTGGATACTCCCGCTGATTATTGTGTGCACCCAATAAATAGTGACTAGCTTGGAGTGTCTTTATCTCTGCCCAGTCTGGCACTGGCCTCCCAGTCTCCCACATACTTTGGAAGTGTGTCTCTTTGTCTTTCTTTCTTTACCCATCACTGCACCCCTCTCCAGGCAGATGGGAGGACTGATCGGCCTCCAATACTTGTGTTATTTACTGTCTTGTTAGTTTTGTATGTTTAGGAAAATTAAGTCTTAGTGGTCTTTTTTTTCTTTCTTTTTTTTTTTTTTTTGGTACCAGGGATCGAACTTGGGACCTTGCACTTTCAAGGCAGGCAGCGGCACCACTGAGCTAAATCCCCGACCCAGGAAAAATTAAGTCTTAGAAAGTTCATTTACTTAGGTGTCTGTTTAAAATTTTGTCTTAAAATTCTGGTAACATAATTTTTAAAAATGTGATTGTCCTGCTATAATGCAGTTAGTCATGATTATTGTTTTAATGCACTGTAAAAGTAACAAAATTGTTTCGCTAAATTGTTACCTTGCATATTACTTATAGTCATGTAACTAGTAAAGGCCATGTTCCTCTTGGTTGATAAGAGATAGTCTTGTTCAAAAATGTACATTCTTAGTAAAATGGATATTAATACTTATATGCTGTATTCAAAAATGTTTAAAGTTCTGTATGCATACCTAAGAAATCCTAAAGTATTACTAATCTATAATTCTTGATGTTAACATTAGTAAATTGTGTGCTTTCTCCCAAATAGTAATTAACTCTGGTTTATAAGAAGAAGGGACAAAAAAAAAAGAGGAAGGGGCTCAAGTATTTGCTTGATATACCTTTCTGGCAGAAATAAGCTTGTTTCACAAAAATAGTGGCTTTCTTTACTCAACTTGGCACTGTGTTTCTTAATTCAAGTCTACTGTACAGACTCAACTTGTGTTTGCTTATAAGCTTTGTACCTATTTGCAAAGTTATAATGTTTTGAGGTGCTGACTGCAAAATAAGACTGGATTAAACCTAACAACGAACTCTAGATAAACTCAGCCTAAGAACCACTCTTTCTAAATCTCAGACATTGCTCATATTTGGCAAGAAGGGCTTATGACCCTGACTCAAATCCTCTGTCACATCCCCTCCAATATGTGGAATGTTCTGACTGACCATCACCAGGAAAAGCTATCTTGGCTTCAAGGGACAAGGCTGCAGATAGTTAATTGGCAATGCCTTCAGAAAAGAAGAAAATGTATTTGGAGACAAATTGGGAAATTTCTGAGTGTCAAAGAGTCACCTGTGTGTCAACCCTACAAAAATAAATAGAGCTACAGAGGTTATGAAAGAGAGATCCTATGCATGACTGCCTAAAAGCAAAAAAGGCCCTTCTAGCAGGTGTAATGGTTAGACATCTCCTGATTTTGTCCTTTTTTATTCTATTTCACAATTTTTAGTGAAACTTTCTCAAGCTCAAGTGTTACTGTGGGCGATGGAGTTGCAGACAGATTCCTAGGTTCTTGTGCATGACAAGAATTGTATGTAGCACATGAGAGTTAAGGAAGCAGCAGCAGAGTTTAATTAGGCAACAGTATGCCCAGAGTGAGTGGGCTTATGGCCAAAGGCTGAAGGTGTTGGGTTTAGGGATTTAAAATGTTGTGCCTGGTCTTCCAGAGTGTGATTGACAGGGTACTGAGTCATGTCAGCTTCGTGTATTAGATGTGTTCTTTCCCACAATTCACTGTTATAATTGGATGAGTGAGATGTGGTCCATATTCATGAACCTTAAGTGAGCTCCAGGAGAAGAGAGGTTATTGTAGGTCCTGCAGGAGGATTTGGCACACATGGGTCCTGGTTTGAGATGGTGGAATTTCCCAGGCCAGGCTTGGAGGTCTTTGTTTTTCTTATCTCTGACTCTCATAGTAAGCCTTAGGACAAAAGGGGGGTTGGCCCTAAGGCATTGCCCAGGTTCAGGTGAATTGAGGAGAGTGGTCCAGCAGCAAGTGGGAGGGGAGAAGCCCCAGAGCCCCAGTTGTACTATCTATGTTACCAGCATCTGACTTTCCTTTGCTCCTGCCAATCCAACAGGAGTCAGCCAGCCAGACGATGTGGCACCTCAAGCCCCTCAAGACTGAGGGCTGAAACAAGCAAGAGAGGAATTGTGACTGACACTGCAAAATGGAACTTCTCAGTGAGGTTTTTTTCTTTAGAGAAAACTGACTTCTCCAAACCTGCTAGAGTTTAGGGCAGAAACAGCCACCCCACCTCTCTTCAGCCCAGAGGAATGGACAGAATATGCAGATGCTGTTCCGAGGAGGTCATTTCTTTGGCAAGGAGAAAGAGATCCAATCCAAGAAGAGACAGAATTAGCCTGAGCATGTCTACTGTTCAATTATATTCCCTCCCCTTTGTTCTTTACTGTGAAATCCCCTTCCCCTCTTGTATGCCATGTGATGGCGATCTGAGGCAAATAGGCCCCCATCTACTGGGATGTAGCTTTGAATAAATCCTCTATCTCCTTGGAGGTAGCTTTGGATAAATCCTTTTTTCCTTTTTACCAAAATATATGGCCTCCTTTGGCTTGATCAGTGGCAAGCAAATGAGCATATGAACCTGAATGGCCAGTTACTTATTCTGTATTTTAATCACACCTTCTATTATATAATCATGTAATTCTTTTATTTTTATATCACTATAAATATATAACATTAATTGCTACCATTTATAAAATCCTGCCATGAGTCAAGACATTTTTCTTCTCCCCTATACCCACCATCTACTGCCTAGTAATGCTAACTCACTCTGCAGGCCTGTTTGGGTTTGGGTATCAGTTTCTTCAGGAAGCTTTCTCCATCTGACTGTAGCCAGGATTAGCTACGCCTGAGAGTTGCCTACATTTCTCCCTACAGTAACACTTATCCCACTTTCTTGGAATTTCCTGTGTAATTGTTGGTCCCTCCAAAAAGAGTAAACTCCATGCAAAGAGGGTATCAATTATTCTATTACTCCTGATATTGCCAGCACCTAGAATAATGCCAAGCATATAGTAGGTGCTCTATAAATGTATTTATCTAACAAACAATGCTAGGCATTTTATATTATTTTTAAATTTTTTAATTATTTCAAATGCATATTAAATACATTCATGGTGGGAAATTGGTACATAAACATATAGAATCATGATACTTTTTACTTTCCCTGCCACTCTCCCCCTCCTGTCCTCCCACCTCCCCACACTTTATATTAATATATTATCGGAAAATACTAGCACGAGTACAAAGACCAACGCTTCCTAAATCGGTTGGCTCACACTTCCTTTCTTGAGTATGGCTATAAAAAGAAACAAGAAAACTCAAGTGAAACTGGCTGTGCTAGAAGAGTACTGTTTCATCTACAGAAGATGAGACCCTGGACGAAAATGGCTCAGCCCCACCTGTGGATCTTGCTTCTGTGCCTGCAAACCTGTGAGTTCTGACCCCTGCTGAACCCCTCTCTTAGTTTCTCATAAAATTTTACAAATGACACTTAATGAAGACCTTGAAATATCCCTTTGATCTGTTTTCAACAGAGCACCCTTGGGTCTCAGTACTATCTACTCAAAAGGGGTCCAACTGTTGGGGGAGGGACTTATTATCCAAATCTAAGCATTTCTAAGTTTTGAAGTTAATATTTCTGAATTTTGTCTGTGCTGTCTCCAAAGATCTGAGGAAAAGCTCTCCTCTCAAAAGAGCCAGCACCTGGTAGATCATCCACAAAGCCCAGCAACAAGCTAGATCACGCACAACCTTGAATGAACTAAAAGCAGTTTCTTTCTGATGCTAGAATATGTGATTTTTGAGACAGATCTTCCTAATAATATTTCACTGCTTTCTCAGATTAGAATAATGCATAACTCCTTATGATCACCGTGAAAACCTCCACTCTACAAGCTCTTTTTATTTTCAAAGCACATTCAGGGTTATAACTCTGTTTCTTAGCCCCCCCAAAATTAAAATAAATAGGGAAAAGATGATTACCTTTTTTTACAAATAAATCTCAAAAAAGAGGTGGATAACTTGAATTAGAAACCCTATTTTTCTTACTTAAGGCTTAATAGTAAATTATAAAAGAAAATTAATATTGGTTTGTATTAATACAATGAAAACTAGATAACACTAACGTGAACCTCAGAGTACTTTGTCATTCCACACATTATCATCATAAATTCAAAGTTCTCCTATTTATGTAAAATTTGTTTGCAATTTCAAAATCTAGTTTCACCTGAAGCTCCATTACTGAAAACTGATAGAGCTGGAAATGGACATTAATTCTCTAATTCCAAAGCTATAGCTCTTTATGCTCCATCTGACCTTCTCATTAACTGTTTGCAACTCCTTGATGGCCTTCAAAGGGCTAAATCTGCCAACACAGCAGGCAGCTCCAGGATATACTCTTCCCATCTGCTGAAACTGAAATCGAGGTTGTCAAATCAGCTAGAAGTCAATCAGTCACTCATTAACTTTGGGATCCTAGGGAAATTATTTAATCCCTTTGTTTCTTTCACTTCAAAATGAGGAACTATCAACAAAATAGGATTAGTTTGAGAATCAAAATGATAATTTGCATACAACAGTTAGCACACTACCTGAATATACAAGTGGTCAAGTATTAGCTAAATCTATTATTGCTTTTCACACTTGTTTTTCATGCCTTATTAAGCAGGGCCTTGGCTTTATTGCACAGAGCTTCTTGGCAGGAATCCTGTTTGGGATGGTTCAAGGAACATGAGCAGGCAAGAAGGTAGTAGAAGTTTGAGGAGTCAGGGTGGGCTTCTAGGGTTCTAAGAAGAAAAGCAAGAATTAAATGCTCATTTTGTCAGGGATCCCTGAAATGGAGACTGGAGGTTTGTATTTACAGAAGTAAAGTGTTTCCACATTCCATTTCCCTTCACAGAATGGATATATTTGCCTCTTGAACATTATTCCCCAAACATTTCTTGAGTACAAAAACATACCCTAAATTCCTCCTGCTGTTAATTTTGAGAGAGATGATTCCTTGTATTTGCTATTGGGTTAGGAGTCAGCACTGATCTTCTGCACTTCCCTAGAATTCAGAGTTGAAAGAGCTAAGAAGCTGTGAAAAGATGGAGGCAGAAATCCCCATTTTCCTCCCAAAATCATGGACATAGGGGAAGTCTGAGTGTGTGAATGCATGACTGCTCCATGTTGGAAAATTTTTTTTGAAGAATCAAGACTCATCATCATATGCTTTGTCTTGACTTTCTCATCATGTCTTTGGAGACACTGTGACTCTGACTGTATCCTACCAGCCACTCACACTTCAGCAATGGAAGGTGGCACAGCTGACCACTTTTGCTCCTTACCCATTCCTTCTACATGTTCTGTCTCATGCTCTTTTAATTCTCTTTTTCTCCTACCATTTCTAGTATCTACTTCTTTAATAGCTTCTTTTTCTCCTCACATCAATAATAGTAATAACCATGTGTGGAGCAATCACTGCATATCTAATATGATCCTAAGGAGTCTACAGTTATTATTTTGTTTAAATAACACCTATGAGATGGACAATACTAATACACCCATTTGCAGATGTGAACATTGATACACAGAAAATCAGAGGTCATTTAGGAAGAAGTAGAGGAAGTAGGATTTAAACTCCACTGTCCTTAGATTTAACTGCCGAGTCATGTTGCTTCCACTCACCTTGATGCTGAAGTGGAATAAAATATTAGCTCCACTATGAACGGTTAATATGTTTATATTTTTGTCAGGAAACAGTGATGCTTTATTCCTAGGAAGACAGGATTATTCAGGTAGAAGCTGCATTTGTTTCTACTGCCATGGTAGAGGGGTATGGAGCTGGTGAGTAGACCCTCACCAATAATAGAAGTATAGGCAGGCCAGTAAGGCAGGATATCCAAGAAAAAGCCATCTCTCTGGACATGATTCAGGGGCCATTCACTTCTGTATGATTTCGGTTGACTTAAATTAGCTACTTTAAAATAAGCAAAAGTCCAGTGTCAAGATGGTCTTGATGTCCTGTAGGGTATAGAGAACATCATGGGGCCTTATAGAAGAGGCTTAAAATCCCAAGAAGGGAGGGGACTCATCTGGACATCTGTGTAGGCATAACTGGACCTCACTATCATCCTAGAGGTCTGAAGAAGCATGCAGGCCTGCAGAAGGGTACTGATGAGAGAGAGGAGAGAGAGAGAGCTTCCGCTGCTCTGATATCCTGGCAGAGTCTTCTTCAAGGTGAATATAAGACCTCAGTTCTAGGGAGAGACTTGAGCAGATGACCACCACTGACACTCAAAAAGGGCGCAAAGGCAGAAGCCCGGCTATATAAATGGAAATAAATTATGTATGGGGAAATTTGGATAACAGGCATCATCTGAAAAACCCAGCTTCCAAGTAGAAGCTGGCATCTGTGTCTTGATGATGACACATGACCCTGGTAGGAGAGAATAGAGCCCTGGAGATCTAGATGGTCACCACCAAGGCAAATGGAGTCTTCCAATGGGATACGTGGGCAGTGCCACACCACAAAGGCTACTCAAGGACTCCTGAATCAAACTTATCTTAGGCCTTGGAGAAGGATGAATCTGAAAGCTTAGAACCAACTAGACTCATCAGTGTGGAACCAGGAAAAGATGAGCATTTAGTTGGGAAGGTTGATGCTGGTGGCAATGTCTAGGTACCATATTGCCTTTTTTATCTCAGTGTTCAAGTGTATGCTAATAGAGAGCAGTGATAACTGGCCATACCCCATCTCTGTCTTGATATTTTGCATGTATTTGTTTCTGTATTTTTAAAGAAACTGATTCAAACTCACCTAAATCTCAATAAAGATATAAAGTAGATATAAACTAGAGTCTATCTGGAGCAGAGAATGTGCCACAGTGGTAGAGTTTCTGCTTAACATATGTGAGGCCTTAGGTTCAATCCCCAGCACAGCCAAAAAAAGTGAACAACAACAACCACAACACAGGACTCATAATGATATAACGTAAAAATTTCATAGGAAATTAGAATTCTATTTTATGGGGTTGGTAGTTTCCTTTTTCTTAGAATCTTGTAATCAAGAACTTTTCATCACAATAGAGAATGGCCAAGTATTTCTGCTGCCCAATCTTTGCTTCCTCTTTGCCTTCTACATCTCTTCACTGGAATTGACCAGTTATCAACAACCCTTTACTCTTAACCAGTAATAGCGAACTTAGGGGTGGACATCACATGGTCAAGCTGCCTCTAATCACCTTCCTGAGCCTTCAGTGTGGAGGAAGCATCACATACACACACACACACACACTTCACTCTGGAGGCAGTGGATGGAGAAAATGGGAAGAAGTTTAGCTACTGTCAAAAAAAAAGAACAAGAAATACTTGTTAGAAAGATGCTGAAGAAGCTTGGGAGTGGTGGCGTCTGCTAAGCAACAGCACAGCCTTCCCCAGTTGCCTTCTTATGAGTAGACTTCCTCTAACTTCTCCCTAGTACCCCAACCTTTTCTTTCCTTCAGATTGTCTCTTAATATCTGCAACAAAGCATGCTTGTTTTATATAACAAACACACTCAGTGCTCAGCATATGCCAGACACTCTTCTAAGAGGTTTGCAAATATTAACTCATTTAACCCTCCTTCATAACACTTCTCTGAGTTTGGTGTTGCTATGATCTTCATTTTAAAACTGAGGAAACTGAGGCACAAAGAGAGTATGAACTTTCCCCAGAGCTGTTGTCCAATACCCAACACAGCCCGAATTCATGCCAAGGTATTGAGTTCTTTTTTGTTGTTGTTGTTGTTTTGATACCAGGGATAGAACTTGGGTCCTTGTGCTTGCACAGCAGGTGGTGAAACCACTGAGCTAAATCCCCAGCCCTGTTGAGTTCTTAATCACTAAGCCATATGCCTCACCTCCAGGCAGGCAGAGGTGCTCTTCAGGCAAGGCTGTCCTTGGCTTCTCCACATTCTTCTTCACTAGGATACACAATCAAGAGCATTCAAATGTGGTAGAATCCTCAGGATTCTTCACAGTGGTAGAGCATCTCTGTTTTATCTCATTTACCAACTAGGAGCCTGAGACTTAGCAGGTGAGTGATATTTATGGACATGTAGCTAGCTGGTAACAGATCTGGACTAGAACGTGTTTCTTGACCCCAAGTTCAAGATAATTTTACTATGTTATAAGTCTTTGTTCTATAGATCTATATAGATTACTGTATAGAATATTGTCAGTATAGTATATAGTATATTGTATATAGTATATTGGCAGTATAGAATATTGGCATAAAAAGAAGTTACAGTGAGCCAACTGCTCCTTCTTATAAATCACTTTAAACCTTTGACCTTTCAAAACAAGACCCAGAGACCAGTGAAGAGTTTTCTCTAGCTGTCTGTTTCTCTTTTGCTCTGCAAGTTCCTGTCTTGTTTTTAGGGGGTTTTTTTTATTGCTACATAAAGGATT